GAAACATGTATATATGTTATATATGTGATATAATGTTATATATATCAGGATATATGTAACATACATTATATGAGGAGAATCAGCTTTCATTTCCAACTCTGCTACAATTCCCTAGGTACCTTGCCATTTAGAGTTAGATGAGTCTTTAGAAATCAATTAGTCCAAACCTGTCATTTTGCTAATGGAAACTGAAGTCAAGACAGGGTCAGTGATTTAATCTAAGTCTTACAGAAGGCAAGAATGTGTCTCATCTAAACTTTCTATCTCCTGTAGTGCCTACCATAGTGTTTTGCACACAGCAAATACCTAATGAATATTTGTCAAATTGAATATACTAGCTAAAAGTTTAATATCTGCAGATTCTCATTTTGGTTAAACATGAAAGCAATGAGATGGATTTATGTTATCTAAAGTGTCTTCTAGCAGTAGATTCTATGATCCTAAAAGTAACTAATGGAAGTCAGTCCCAAAGCATATTACCCTCTGAGGTGTAATTACCATCAAAACAATCCTTCTGAGTGTACAATGGGCACTTTTCTAGGGATAGAAGATTTGAGAAAATCCCTCTGCAAAGTTTTTCTTAGAGAATCTGAAATTAATAACAATAATAGCTAGTATTTATATCACACTTTGTTGTTGTCATGCAGTCATTTCAGTTGTGTCAGACTCTCCATGACCCCATTTGGGGTTTTCTTGGCAAAGATAGTGAGATGGTTTGCCATTTCCTTCTCCAGTCCATTTGATAGATGAGGAACTGAGGCAAACAGGGTTAAGTGACTTGACCAGGGTCACACTGCTAATAAGTGTCAGAGACCAGATTTGAACTTGGGAAGATGAGTCTTCCTGACTTCAAACCCAGCCCTCTATCCACTGTAGCACCTAGCTGCCCATATTTCACTTAAGGGTTTGTAAAACACTTTACAAATATTATCTCATTTTATCTTCACAACAACTCTGGGGAAAAGGTGTTATTATCCCCATTTTGCAGATGAGGAAACTGAGGCTAGGGAAACTTAAGTGACTTGTCCAAGGTCACAAATCTAAGTGTCTTTACCTACTTGAGGTATGTTCTATTATCACCCTCATTTTACAGATGAAAAAACTGAGGCTGATGGACATTATATAACATGCAGAGGTTTATACAGCTACATAATTGTCTGAGATGGGATTAGAATTCAGGTTGTCTAGACTCTAGGGCCAGAGCTCTATCCACAGTACTACCTACCTTCCTAGAATTGATCAAGACATGCTTACTGAGTGCCTATTCTGTGCCCAATGGCATGGTATAATGGAAAGAATACCAAATTAGAAGTCAAAAGACCTAGGTTCTAGTCATGTGACCTTGGGTTATTCTTTTCATCATGGAAGCTCAGTTTCTTCCTCTGGAAAAGTGGAAAATAGTATCTGCCTGCCTTATAAGTTTGTTCTGAGGATCAAACTAGAATGAAAGTAAAAACTCTCTGAAAAAACAGAAAAGCTGTTTTTGTAATAAATTTTTTTAAATTAAAAAAAACTAATGTATTATTACTATTATGGGTCCAGCGGAAGATATGAAAGCAGTTTCAGGTAGGTACATAGCCCCTGTCTCTGAGGAATTTTTTTGTGTGATTTAAATTCTAACTTTGATTGATATTGTTATCTTATCCCTGATGAATACCTGAAGAAAATATCGCAGTGTTAACCGTGACCAATATCTGTGCATACAAAATTGTTTATCAACTCAATTCAGTAAACTTTTAAGTATCAATATTCACACCAATATTTTTTCATCATATGTATAGGGATAAGAACTGGACCTTTGATGATTCCACTGGTATTCAGAACTCTATGATAAAGAAACAGCTTCAACAGGGTACGTCAACACACCTTCTATGTGACTTAGAGTCAGAGAGTGGCCTAGACTCCTGACTGGTTAAATTAGTGCCACAAAGCATTCACTTCAAAACGACATAGCCAGCATGTGGCACAGAACAGACTTGAACCCAGGTCTTTCTGGCTCTGTACCCAGCACTTTAAAGTGCATATAAAGTGCTTTAGAGGCAGTTAGGTGTCGAAGTGGAAAGAGCACCTGCCCTGGAGTCAGGAGGATATGAGCTCAAATCGGGCCTCAGACACTTGACATTTACTAGCTGTGTGACCCCGGGGCAAGTCACTTAACCCCAACTGCCTCACCAAAAAGAAAAAAAAAGTGCTTTACAAAAGTTAACTCAATGGATCCTCAAACAACCCTGTGAAGCAGGTGCTATTATTATGCCCATTATACAAATTAGGAAAGTAAGGCACAGAAAGGCTAAGTGACTTGTCCAGAGTCAGACAGCTAGTAAGTGTCCACAGCAGGATTTGAACTCATATCTTCCTGATTCCAAATCCTATCCACTGTAAAACCTAGCTATCTACCCAGATGCGTACAATATATTTCTATTTACATTAACGAGAAAAACAAAATATTTTAAATTATAAAGCTTTTAACTTTTTTAGTATCCTAATAGGTTGAATCACTTTAAACCACTGAAATTCTGAAGAATTGCTTTTCTGATACAAAAGTAAAGCACAATGTTTTTTATTTACTGATCTGAACTATCTTTCAACTCAAAGACCTAACCGATTTAGCTGATTAAAGGTCAACTGTTAGCATTCAGTATCAAACTTTCACAGCATAGAAAAACCATCTCTTGAACAGAATTTTGACAATCAGGAGCTAATGAAATTAAACCAATACCTTTCTTACCTATGATGTAACTAAAATGGCCAAGCTGGGGAAAGGGGTGTCATTAATCATAATTCTTACTATAATTAAGCCTATGTTTAATCATTTAAGGTTTACGAAATATTTTGCATGTATTATTATGTTTGAACCTCACAATAACTATATGGGTTAGGTACAATTATTATGAAAATTTTGCAGATGAGAAAAAAAAATGAGTCTATAAAAGGTTAAGTGACTTACCCACTAGGGTCATTCAACTAATAACTGTCCGAGGAGGGTTCTGAATGAAAGTCTTCTTGAATCTATCTACTATACCAGGATGTTCAGGTAAATAGAGAAAGAAAACAAAAGTAACCCCCAAAACAGTTAGTTTTCTTTCTTCCTGTACCTGAGTACTCTTTTCATTTAATGACATTCCCAGCATAGTTATCATTGATGCTTTACTGCCATATAGATTATGGAAAGTTAAAGTTCCCAAGTCTCACAGAATTCATAAAATGGCTTCTTAGGAATTTCTGCATGTAACACTGAAAATCCTCTGGAAGCCCAAAAGATCACCAAAAAGTTTTGATAAACTTGAATTTTCTTTCTTCCTTACCTCAAAAAGCATTTTTTTTTTTTGGTCCTTGTTGTTAAGATGGGGATGCTGCACTTGGAAAAAATATTATTCCTTCCATATTTCCATCATATGTTCATTACCTTTTTTTTTTTAACTTTTGAATGTTTTTTTTAAACCACCTTTTTCTTTCCATAAGTTCCTCTCTTATACATGCATGACTTCTTCAGGCACAGACACTGCCTTTGGACTCCAAATTATAACAGCAACTCTAGAGTTTTTATTATTGGACATTAGTTATGGGTATGTCCTATTTGATGAAGATGAAATTATACAATGCAAAGACTTCCTTTCTTACATAGTGAATACAGGATAGCTAATATCTGTGGAGCATAACTAGGTCACAGAACAACAAATTGAACAAAAATCCTACCAACTTACTATTTGGGCAATCAAGTAATTTGAATTTGATGCAGTTTGGATCCTTAAAACACCTCCCACCTCGTCTGCCGAGTGATCAACAGACTTAAAAATCAGACCAAAAAGTTTAAATGCATTAACTGCACTATGGAGAAAGCTAAAGCAAACGAGATCATGCAGGAAAAAGTTGCGACTGGAGCTACACCCTTCCCCCCGTGCAAAGGAAAAGCAAACCTCTGTAGTCTCAAAATAACTCTGGCTTCCTTTTCACTAAAGGGCTGGACAGCTTATCAGATGTCCAAAAGCCCTGTTCCCCAATAACGGTATGACCAGCAGCCCTGAAGACAAAACTCTGCTTCCTCTCCCGCCAGAAATGCGGTTTAAAAAAAAGAAAAATTAAGTTTACATTTGGTGTCGGTTCAGAGATAGAGTAAATCATGTTCAAAAGATTTAGATGTAGAATCCTGGCTCTGCCACTCGCTACCTGTGTGACATTCCCTTCTCTGGGACTAGGTATCCTCATCGAGAAAAGGAGATGACTGCTTCCAGTTCTAATATACCTAATTCTGCTGCATTCTCTGGGGATCCCAGGGCAGAGGACTGATTGAATTTCGCAAGCTGACAATTCCCCTGATACACCTCTGCCGCTTTATCGCCCCCCTCCCGCGCAGAGAAAGTCAAGGGAACTTCTCCTTACTTTCTGGAAAGGCACACAGAAGGCGAAGAAAGCCCAGCAACCTTTTCAACCTGTCGGAGGGACGTCGCACAACATCCACTCCTCCCCCCCTCCCCCCCCCCCCCCCGGCCCCCCCCCCCCCCCCCGACAAAGCCCCCCCGGCTTTTCCCCCCCCCCCCCCCCACCCCGCCGCTTTGCAACCGCCCACACGTTTTTTGTGTGGTCAAGAAAGCGGGGCGGGGACCTGTAACCCAGAGACTTAAGTAAGGGTACCTTAGTCAAGCACTGAGGTGGCAGGAAGGGGCAGCAGCTTTCTCTCCACTCCAGCTGGCTAAGGGATACTGCCCCCACCTTTCTTCACTGCTGGGCGCTTTTCCCGCGCCCCCCCCCCACACTCGCCTCTCGCCGGTTCTTGGGCCAATCGCCAGCTTTTTCTGCCCTTGTCTCAGCACCGTTCTCCCAGCCCACTGTAAGCGCTTGATAAATGTTTGCTGACTTGTGCAAATCTGTATCTTACTGTTTAAGATCCGACCAAAAGCTTTCCTTTCTAAGCAGCCCCGGGCGCCACTCCCTGAGACGCCGCCTCCTCCCATCCCATCCCGATCGACCCACTGAGTCCACGATCCCGCTCCGCTACTCACCCTCCTGGTTTGGAAAGTTGGGGTGCCGCGCTGGAGCTCCACGGTGACTTCAGCCCAGTCCTAGGAAGGGGTGGGGAAGGGAGTGAGGGAGGCGAAGCCCAGCGAGGCTTTGGGGAAGGGGAAGAAGGGAGAGGGAGGAGAAAAGGGGACGGGGATCGGGAGAAAGGTTTCAATGGTTCCCAACAAAAAGGGGGAAACCCTTACTCTGTTGTGGCTGTCGGAAGCCCACCAGGGATTGAGGGGTGGCTGATCTTCCCTAGGCCAGGAAAAAAAGTCTAGAACACCCCCAGAGTTTCAGGGCAAGCTCGCGCACTCAGCCCCTGGCAGCCGGAGAGGAACTAAGCTGGGTTTCAGGGGGTTGGCTGAGAGGTTCCCAGCTACTTCCTGGTATTTCGATTTGCATACACAGCCTTCAATGGGGGAGGTGTCCGTTGGGTCTTCTTGGCTTAAAGTCTTACTCTTCTATGTGACCATCCTGAGGAGTTTAGAGAAAAAGGAAAAAAAAAAAAAAAGGAACCTGGGCAAAGCCAAGTGAAGACTGGTCACCGAATTGAAGCTGCAGCTCCGAAACTTTCAGATTGGGGCGGCGGGGGGGGAGGGGGATATCTATAGAACTAGAGCTGGAAGGGACCTGGGAGAGTATCTACCACTCTATCACCTCTGATTTTACAGATGAAGTCACAGAGGGGTTACATTGAGTAGTTAGTGGCAGAGACAGAATTTGAACTCGGGTTTGGTCATTTTGGGGTTCTTTCTGCTACACTATGCTGCCTCTGATAGAGGGGAAAGGCAACAAGAAGGATTTGACATTGAAATCGTGAAATGCGGCCTAGTGGCTAGAGCGCTGGTCTCAAGCCAGGAAGAACTCTGTTCAAGTCGTGTCTGATACATACTGGCTGTGTGACCCCGGGCAAGTCACTTCTCAGTAACCCAGGCAACTCTCGAAGACTATAAATTGCTATGCGGGTGCAACTAGGCATGGACGGAGGGAGTTCCCTAAACCAATAAAATAACAGATCGGTTAAGGAAAAAAAAAGGAAAAAAGAAAAAAGAAAGAACATGGATGGAAGTTAGGATGCTAGAGCACATGACAATCCGTTTTACCTGAGACCCAAATAGTTAAATGGTTTGCTCACCGTTACACAGGTGAAGCAGAGTCTGGATTTGAATTCAGGTTTTCTTCTGTGCTCCTTTCACTCCACCGTGACCCTAGATCACATCCCACCCTCCTTTCAGGAGCTAGTTGTAGGATTTCTCTTCGATAAAGCCACACCTATCCATCACTCATTACAGCTCAACACTCCCTCAGCTGTGAAAGCTCTGGACAATCCTTTTTCTGCCCCTGAGGGCAGTTATAACCTAACCCCAAAGGAGGCACGGACAGCACAACTGGACAGGTGCCTTTAGGAAAACCCCCCTCGAACTCCCTAGCATAACTACACCCCTTTCCTTCAGATCCTTTCCTGTGACAAGAGCCCTAAGAAGGTAGGCTGTGCACTCCAGGGAAGTAATAGATAAAGAAGAGCCCTGTCTCCCCCTTTTCCCCCTTTTCTTTTGGGATAGAATAAATCTCACAGGATTATCTCACATGAATGGATTGCATTTTGCATCACAGATCTCATTCATTACATTACCTTTCCCCAGAAATCCAACCCTCTTCCTATCTTTGCTATCTCTGTTAAGAGCCACCACAATCGTTCCAGTCATCCAGGTTGGAAACCTTGGTGTCACCCTTGACTTCACTTTCCTTTATCCCACACATTCAAGCAGCTGGCAAATCTTGTAATTTCTAGATCCACAACATCTCTCATTTTGTCCCCTTCTCTGTTCTCTCCTCTCACACCAACCATCACCCCATTTCCGGCTCTTATCATCTCTCACCTGAACCGTTTAAAGGGATTCTGATTGGCTTCCTTGACTGTATCTCCCTCCTGCAGTTCATCCTCCCACACATACCTAAGTGGTTTTCCATAAGCTTAGATCTGAACAAGTCATCCCTGGTACCCAGTAAACTCCAACAGTTCTTTGTTACCTCTAGGATCAAATATCAAGTCTTCTGTTTGGCATTTAAAGCCCTTCACAACTTGGCCCCAATCTGCCTTTCTAGCCTTATTATACATTACTCCCCTTCATGCCCTTGAAGGTCCTGCTAAACTGGTCTTTTTGCTGTTTCTCCTGCTCATACAAAACACACAACTAAAATATCCAAACATGAATAGAAAATTAAGGTCTGATGTAATGCATTAAGCAGAATCAAAGAAAGACAGAGGAATGGATTTATATGAAAAACTTGCTGCTAAGATGAAACCAGAGACAATTCACTTTTGCTTTTGTTGTTGCTTTGTTTATAGTGAATATTAATATACCAAGAAACATGACGCCTGCTGAAAAGCTGTTCTGCTCTCTGACAGTTGTGACCTATTAATTTGATTGAGCATTGCATATCTTTCAATAGAAAAATATCCAAACATGAAGTTCACCAGCTTGGTTAGCCATATAGATCAGATTAATTTAATGAATACTAACCATTACAACTCTATTCCCTAGGATGTATAAAGTTTGTTTGTTCATTTTTTTTAAAATAATGAAGCATATTCAATCATATTATTCTCAAGAATGAAGTTTTTATATCATTAAGACATAAACTTGAACATATTTTTAAAATATTGCTTATTTCATCTTTTTAATTCTATTTTTATTTACCATGTTTTGTGTACATAATATATTAATACAATAATACATCATTTAATTTATAAATATACATATAATGTATACCAAAGTCTTAGTGTATTTTAAGTTTTAATAGCTTAAATAACTATATATTGGGAATCAATGCTAAAAAAATTTTTTTTACTGATAGAGGTGCATAATAAAAAATGTTTGGAGACCACTATCTCAGAGTATCATCTCTACTTGCCTCTCTTCCTGTTTCAGTACTACATTAAATTTTTCTGCACAACTTTCAAAGACTTCCATAATTTTAACACCATGAGGTCTAATATGTGAAAGGCTGCTGATCAAGAAACTGGGGATACAAAGTGATCAGACAGCTATGACCAAGAGTCTGCTCTCAACAACTAACAATTCAATGGATTTGAAAAGTAACTAAAATTTCTATAGCTCTTCGGAGTTTGTGAAGCACTTTACATAAATGATCTCATTCTTTCCTCACAACAATCCTGAGGCAAACACAACCCATATAATTTTCCTCTTTTTACAAATAAGGTATCTTCCCAACAACCCAGTGAAGTAAACACTACAGATATTATGATACCAATTTTACAGGTAAGGATCCGAAGGGTGAGAGCAGTTAAATACCTTGTCCAGGGTTGCACTCCTAAAGTATCTTAACATCTTGTGCCTGACTCTGTCTAGTTCCCTAGCCATCATACCCTGCTGCCTCCTGCGTTATACTTAGGCTACAAAGAAGAATAAGATGTCACAGAATTTGAATTGGAAGGAACCTCCAATGCCTTTGTCTGACTTATTCAATTTAATTCAACAAACATTTATTTAGCTCCTGCTATCTTAAAGATCTTCAGTAAAAGAGAACCTTCAGAGACAACCTATATAGCTCTCCCAAAATTAGAATGTTTTCCCTCATATCAAGCCAAAATTTCATTCTATAATTTCCCCACATTTCTCCTAGTTTTGCCCTCAGGCCAAGAAGAACAAGTGTAATCTGTCTTCCACATGACAATCCTTCTGATGCTTGAAGACAGCTATTACGGTTCCCTAAGTGTTCTCTTCTCTAGGCTAAACATCTCCAGAGCTTAACATTTTATGATTTTCCATCCTCCTCACCATCCTGATTACTCCAGTTCCACCATATTATTCGAAAATGTGATGCCTGGGACTGAATGCAGTACTTCAGCTGTGGTCTTTCCAGATAAGAATACAAGAGTACACTTAAGTATCTTGATGTATTCATCTCAATATTTCACTGTAATATCAAATTCATCAGTTCAGATCACAACTCATCCATGTCTTCTCATCCTGTACAAGTTTTATGGATGCCCTCCCATAGAGTGTCATCCCAACATTCTGGAGGCTTTCCTCCAGGTCTTTTTATATTTCATGGGCACCAGTGGAGCAGTCAAGATATCCATCTGTTATCCCTTACATGATCAGCCTGCCTTTTTTTCTGATCTCGTATTGTACGTTTCCTCAATTCAATAACTTATGCCACTTCTTCAAAGGTCGCTATTGAAAATACATTGCTATCTACTTCCATTCATCTCTCCATTGGCCTTTGTGTCACTCACGATGTTGATTCTTTGGCGATTACTGTGTTCAAGATTTATAACCATGTAGCATTACTAGAAAAATATGTCTTTTTTTAAAATGGATTTTTTTTTTTACTAAAGATCAGCTTGGGATTCTTGAAAGCAATATTCAATTTATCAAATGTTGTTAATTCAATCTAATAAGCATTCGTTAAATATCTGTTGTATACAAGGCATTAAATTATCCAGTTTACTGTCTTCTTCTTATTTAATCCTGGGCCCTACATGGTATCCATTTTTAGTTCCTCACTCAGGTTTATGCACTGCTGAACTAATTAAATGGACCAACAACTCTACTGACTTCCTCCTTCATAGCTGAGAATGGAATATGTACGAGTAAGTATTCTAAACTACCATTGCCATTGGCTGACATTAGTCACCTAATGGCCAACCTATAAATGAAGTAGCTCTCCATTCTTTAGTAAGCTGTTCTCAGACAGCAAAAAAGACAGCAAGAGCTGAAGACCCAGATCCCTGGGGTGCTTTCCAAGAGACCTCTTCCAAGCTGACATCAACTCATTAATGACTTGTCTGAGTCCAGCCATCCATCCAGTTCTGAATCCACATAACTGTAATATGATCTAGTCACACCTCTCTCTCTTGACCACAAGGACATCATTAGAGACTCTGTCAAATGCTTTGTTAAAATCTAGGTATGCTTCATACAGAATATTCTCACCATCTGCCTGCCTATTGATCATATAAATTTAAAGGAAAAGAAATGAGATTAGATGGGTATGTATGTATACCTCTTATGGCAAACTCATGGGAAAACACAGACAAGAAAGCACAGAAAGATCAAGCATGAATAAGTTTTGATTTGCTTCATTTGGGGAAACTTCCAAATCAAAAAGATGGCAGATTCACTTGAGTATTTATGTTTAGTATTTCCTTCCACACAATTCCATTCAATAATCATTTATTAAGTGCCACAGGCTGGTTGTTGGGGAGAAAAAAACAAAACGAAAAATAGTCTCTGCCTTCAAAATCATACATCCTACTGAGGACAATATAATATTTACATAGATATAAGATATTTTGAGGAGGGAGAGAGTACTAACAACTAG